ATAAAATTGACAGGGGAAAATGTATATTTTTAACACGGTTAATTCAACCAAATTAGGTCTCATTCTTGTGGTCAGGTCCTGGAAAAATGGGGTCAACTGGAAAGTGAGGGCTTGGCCCTTGGTCGGAGTTAAGGGAGAGGTGTCCCAAATTAGCTGGCAATTAATTAGGCAGACAAAACCAGAAATTATGGTTGGACAGACAAAATATCCATAAAGTTATAAACAACAGCATTTTTTCCCTCTTACTTTGCGTGTTTTGCCAGAGAATATACATATAACCCCTCAAGGTGGCAATGGATGGTGCAATTTACATTGTTAACTAAGTTTTAAGCTGGCTACAATCATGCAATTCTTTGTCAGCTCTATCTCATACTCAGCAGCTTTTCTTTTTTTTTTTTTTTTGAATTTTCTTGACTCATTCAATTCAATTTTCGCGGCAGTTGCAATTGCAGCCGCGGAAGGTTGCTAAATTACACAACTAGAGAGAGGTTTAAGACCTTAGAGAACGTCGTGACAAGGTGGAAAAAACGTTATAGTAATGGTTTTTTTCTTTTTCTATAATTGACATTAATTCTTTGTTTAAGATGTATAAGAAATTGTAAATATCACAGCTTTATGTAGTTGTATTTAGAGTATTTTAAAGTTGTAGTTTAGTTTAAATATAAACAAAGTGATATATTCCCCAAAACTTCATAGATATTGAGATATTTATTTATATTTTTTGCTTACAAGCCTAGTTATTTCAACTATTTAAGTTATTAGTATTCCTTATACTTTACGAGGGGCTAAAACCTCGCTTAGACAGACATTCAATGAGATGTTCATAACAAATGTATGTTAATGCCGAGTGGCATAATGCCTGCAGCCTTCTATATATTTATCGATCGGTGGAAAAGGAGGCGGATCTGGTGGGGATTGAGCTCTAGTTTGTGGGATTGAGAGGGTTGACACGGAGTGGCCTCAAGTGGGGCAGCAGCAGCTGGAGTAGCAACCCACCCAGTGGATGTGGTGGTGTTGTATGTTATGTGATTTGAAAGCATGTATTTTTTCCACTGTTTCGTTTTTTTTTTTTTGTGTTCGCCGTGGGTTACACAAAAACATTTCAAGTTGCACCACAGGGTCTGTATTTTTTTCGGTTTGCTGTCCGTACAAGTGGACAAAGTGGTTTGCAAGTGGTTGCATGGCCATTATAGATATATATATATATATAGAGAGAGAGAGAGAGGTGTGGGCTCATGGACCAATGCAGCTGTGTGGCCAACTATCAATTACTTAAATGCATAATTGCAAAGGAATTACCTTTATAGAATTACCCAGAATCAAGTTCAATGGGCTGGAATTGTATTCTTGGGTTAACTAGATGGTGTTTTAGGTACTTTGTGATAAGATTTGTAGACAAAATAACCCATTTTTAAGCATTTTCTGGCTTTATTTAAATCTTTTTCTAATCAAATTCAACTTCATTTCTTAATTAGTTGTATAAATCACCAATTAATAAGCATCTTCTGGCTTTCTTTAAATAATTTCCCGAACAAAATCAAGTTCAAGTTGCTCTCTCAACTAATTGTTGTATAAATCACCAATTAACAAGCATTTTCTTGCTTTCTTTAAATAATTTCCCGAACAAAATCAAGTTCAAGTTGCTCTCTTAACTAATTGTTGTTCCATTTTATTAACCCCTTTTCTCAGTGCCAAATTAGGCCGACAATTTAATTGCAATCAAGGTTCAGTGAACTCTGTAAAGATCAAATAAAAACCAAACCACAAATGGTCGCATTAAGCTTAGCTTAATATCGCTTTTCTTCAGACAATAAAAAACGGAATTGCCCCAAAGCCATGAACAAACGAATCCATGATCATTGATCAACCGAAAAACCAAGAAAGATACAAAAACAACAAAAAAACCAACAAACCTAATATGGCCAAATGGCGGTAACAAAAAAATAGAGACAAAAAAATATATATATGAATAAATAAAGGCGACATTTGGCGCGACTGTTAAAATTACTACACAAAATACATATAGACCTGTTACTATAGGTTTTTTGTCATTGTTTTTGTAGTCTGTGTCTATAAGTTTCCATTGAAAAGTCGAACGAAAATGCCAGGCCAGAGATCCAAGATCCAAGATCATATGGGCAGAAAATTAAAGTCGTGTGCTAAACTTGCGCCAAATCCAACACTGACGCAACAGATATAGCCCGAGGGGAGAAAAATATATACACAAATTCATATATATCTGTATATCGGAGGTTTACGGGGGGGAATATAGCTCCTAAACTTGATTTCGCCAGCTGCGCGTGGGTCTCCCAAAGAAACAAAAACAAACCACTTGGCGGAGAGAGAGATCTGTGATCTCGATTCCGTTCAAAATAGTTTTGTTTTTGTTGCAAAAGTTTTCCATAAAAACTGTGAAAAATGTGAGATCAAGCCAAAAGCTCTGCATAACATTTAACGAGTGTCAAATATTCGCTACTCTAATTAAGAATAATATGTGGAATAGCTTTGTTTATGTCAGCAATTGATTAAGAAGAGTTTCAAAGATCTGGGTTGGAGATTTCAGTGATCTTTCTCTAAAAGAAATATAAACATACTTTAAATTTAAAGCTTTCAGTCTGTCAATGGCTCATTAATTATTATAGTGAAACCAAGCTTAAGCAATTGATTGTTTGGGCCGAGTTTTTCCATAAATAAAATGCTCAAATGTGAGACAATAAATTGCGGGCGTAGAGTTCAGTTTTGGGCATTCGCAGCTATTAACATAAAATCAAGATTTATATGAAAATTAACGCTCTTAAATGCTTGGATATGCCATATAAATTCGTATATGGTTATATCTTTAATTAAGAATAGTCTGCTGCATCTTTTGTTGCAAAAGCTTTTCCATAAATGCGCAAAAATTGTGAGACAATAAATTCAAGGCGCAAGATTTTTGGGCATTCGCGGGGGATTAGCATAATGGCCAGATTTGCATGAAAATTAACGCATTTAAATGCTTAAACTGTCAAAAAACAATGAACGACGCCAGGGGATTGTTTCTTTAATTAAGAATAATTTGTTGAATAAGTTTCGTTTTGGCTGCATTTGACTAATTAAGTTTATGCAAATGTCGCGTAGGCGAAAGTTTTATGATAGCGGATATACATAGTACATATGTATGTATAGATTTTACGAGTTTTTAAGTCGCCGACAAATTGACGATGGATTGTTCTATGGAAATAAAAATTAAAACATTTAAAGCGGAAAGCGCAACTAAAAATAAACATGTGGCAAAGTCATAAAACCAAGGGTCCCTTCGTCATGTTTTCTTTATTCTCCCCAAGCTCCCCTTCGTTGGATCTTCTGAGTATACTGAAAATAATTTCAATTGATCTATTTTTTGTTTTAAAATCTTAATATGTCAAAATATTCCTTTAATTATATTGGCCTTAATTGAATATATGACATAAAATCAATAACATTGTAAATATTTATATATATAAATTTGTAATATAAAAAAGAATGTATTAATAATTTTTCCCAGTGTAGAAAATGACATGAAGCGCAACTGTTTCTGCAAGACAAAGAAGCAGAAGAGCTGGAGAACAAGAAGAATAAGAAGAAGAAGGAGGAGGAGGAGCAGGCGGCTACAAAGGAGGAAAAGGAGCCAAAACACTGGGAAGTCGGTGGAAATTAAATACGGTTTTGTTACCAGAAATTCCGCAACTAAAAATAAACAAATGAACGAAGCCCGAAGAAGATGCGAAGCACGCGACGCACAAAAGAGGGTGAAATTCGAATCCACAAAGTGGAGAATAGGCAAAGGAGCAAAAATTAACAACAATGCCCAGCCAGCGATCGTTTTTTATTGAGGAAATAGTGCAAATAGAATTGTGATTTCTGCATATTTGCATAAATTGCGGCCATGGCGAGAATTGCAAAACGATTGGCGGACATGAAGAAAAGCGATAAATGAGCGGCGGCGGCGACATACAGCAAAAAAAAAAAGAAATAAAAAACAACAACGGATAGCAACTTATCAGAAAACCCACACAGGCACGCGCACATACTCACACAGAACCTAAGACAACAAAAGAAAAACAAACGTCATTTGCCTTTTGTTTTGGTTTCTTTTTGCCAAGCTCTCCTTCGTTCCCTCTCTCTATCTCCCTCGCTCTCTTCCTCTCACTGTTTGGGTCGCCGATCCGCACTGCACTTTGCCGATCAACGGTTCTTTGGCTTTCGGTATTTCCTGCTCTCTTGCACCTACGCGACAGGCTCTGCAAAACCAGTTATTAAAAGCCATAAAAAGGAGAACCATTTAACTGTTAAAGGTGTCTCAGGTTGCTTTAGTTTTCTTTTTTTCTTTTTTTGGGTTGCGACTCTTGCCAGGTGTTTAACACCGCCAGCTGTTTTGTTTGCATGCGAAAAAGTATTTTCGTATTTTCTGCAAATTGGAATTGTTTTTTGGGTTTGTTTCGGTGCTGCTTCTGCGCAGGGTGGAAGCAGGACGGCACACACTTTTCACACACATTCACTTATGCACGCACACACCCCTGAAAATGCCGCTACTCCAGTGCAATTTACTTTTTGCTTAATTTGATGTAAAATCGAGAATAAATACCATTTGGAAAGGAAATGTACTTAAAAACCGATGGGCAGCTTAGCCACCGCACACCTCTCCCTTCTTTTGTTTTGCGTATGTGTTTTCTCAACTCCGGCGCAGCTTCGTTTACTCTCTACATACAGCTTCCTTGTTTTTTTTTTATATTAAATTTCTTTGCGCAAAAGGAGTGGCGTTGTCCAGGATTTTTCACACACACAATCACAAGCACACCGTTATTGCGTATATACATACATATACATAGTCGGCGTCTCTTCAATTACACTGTTTTTCTTGTATTTTTCTTATTCGTTTAACCTTTTTATCCGGCACTTTAACCAATTTGCAAAACTCGATTTGGTTTTTGGATTCCTTATGAACGAACACACATGTAGTTTTATGGTCTTCTCGCATTTACCTTTTAAAGAGCTTGTTGTTGTTTAGGCGTTTCGGTATACACAAATCCTTTTTTGCATTTAAATAATCGCGCACGGAGACACTGAGTTTTCGCAAAGTCGCGTCGTGTTATTAATAATATCGATGCATGTTTATACACACGTTTAAGTTATTTATCCTTTGGTTGTTAAGTTTTTTATTATTTATATTTCCTTTTTACATGTTTTTATAGCGGAGCAAATGCTAAGCAGCGGAGAGTCGCACAGAAAACGCGTCCGAATAAATCGCAAGTGAAACCGATAAACTTGCATTTGAAAATAGCTAAAAAGGAATAGATTTTTAAAAATCAAAAAAAGTTTACGTTAATTTAAAAAGTAAGAAATTTATCTGAAAAAACACTAATGTTTGAATTTGTTTATTTACATTTATTCCACTTTAATTGATTAGGACCGTTGTTAATGGACTTTATAAAAAGTTATAGGAGTAAATATTAATATTTTATATATATTAATACAGCGACGCGACGATATAGCAAGCTGGCGTTTCGATTTCAACTGAATCCACAATATTCACAATATCCACGATCCACTGGCATTAGCTATAAAACGAACCACCCTCGACCGACAAACATGCTAGAGTGAGACGGCTAGTAGGATTGTTGAAAACATACCAACATATCGATATATCGATATTTTCCCCTAAATGATATATTTATATCGTGATGTTATGGTTGCCCAAATATCGATGTTGCGGTATTTTTTCCGCTGTCGGGTGAGCGTAAATTCACAAAATTCCCTAGTTGGCTGTCCGGTGCAAGGCATCCACTTCAACTATTTTCCCGCCAAATCTGGCGCACCACTTCTTTTTTAAATATACCAGCTAGCCGGTACAGGGGTGTGAGTTAAGCTTTTTTAGTCTAGATCTAGTATATTTTTTAAATGGAGAGCTTACAGAAGTTGCAGGTAGCTGATTTGCTTGAATACAGTTTTAAATGTTCATCTACTATGGTCATCTAGTATATTAATGGAAAAATACCAAAATAAGAGAAAACTTTTATAGCTAGAGAGGGGTTATCTGCGGAGAGCGGTTTTAAATGCAGTGTTGCTCGAGGCTATCCCAGCAGTGGGAAAAAAGCCGTATTGAAAAAGTCAAATCACTATCGATAGTGGTATGTCGATGACTATTTATCGAGCGCGCCGGTTCGGCAGCTCTACCAAACAGCATGCGGTCATACTGGAAACAACATTTTTAAACCGCGCCGGTGTTTTGTTGCATTTATTAACAAAACTTAGCAAATATATGAAAATAACTAGCGATGCGAGTACTAACGGAGCCCCACCATACCATATCGATGCCCGATGGGATCCTTTCCTACGAATTATGCGGCAACGAGTTCGCCTACAACCTGTTGGCCGTGGCAATGAGGGACTGTCTGCGCCTTCTCCTCGTTGGACTGCCGGTAAGTGCTTGGTGAGGGAGCTTGGTAAATGAATTAATAAATGCTTGACAAACAGGAGGAGACCGTCGAGTTTGGGTATTCACATCTGCTTGATCTAACGCTGGACAAAGAAGATGTGGAAAGAATTGATGAACGGCGGGTCGTCAGTTCCATTGCTTTTGCACCGGACACATCGCTTAACTGCACACCCAAAAATGTGACTCTATGCGCTGCCCGCTGGGAAATAATGGACATCTTTCGCACCGATCTGGGCCAGTTCAATACCGTGCATAAGCTGCGCGGCCACAAAGACTACATAAACGATATGGCCTGGGTTTGCGAGGGCAATCTACTGGCCTCTGTCAGCGATGACTTCACCTGCCGCTTCTGGAACACTTCCGATCAGCGGACGGTTCTTACCTTCCGCCTAACATCTGCCGGAATGTCGGTCAAGGGCCATCCCGATGATCCTAGCAAGGTGCTGGTGGCGGAGAAGAAGGGTGAGCTATCTTTAATTCCTGGTTTCTTATGAATCCGTAACCAAGTCAAACATTTTGCAGGCATCATCCGTTTGTACAATGTGAACACCAAGCAGGCCGTCATCTCGGTGCAGTCGCCAAAATTCCCGCTCATGTCCGCCGATTGGGCACTCAGCAACCGGTATTTTATCACTGCCCTGGCTGGGGGCGATGTGATTACCTGGGATCTCAACAGACCCGTTGTGCCCGCCGATGTGAAGCAAGTGCATGAGGATGGCGGACGTTCAGTCCGCTTTGCTCCCGGAAGCTCGGAAATGGTCCTCGCCAGCATAGGACGACCGGATGTAACGCTCAAGGTATTTGCAGCGAAATCAACGATGCCATTAATTGAGGCCACCCTGAAGACCTTCGGGGGAATGGCATGGCACCAGAGATTGCCATACATCAGCGCCGTCTCTGACAGGGATTTGCATTTCTGGAAGGTGCAAATGAAGTAGAGGTAAAGCTGTAAGTCTCTTATAAACAATAAAGTCCAAATTTATTTTAATCTTGCCAGATATTTTAGTTCGTGACGAAGTTACTGGAAAAGAGCGCAACTTACATACTATATTATGTTTTTTTCAGCTTGTATATTAAAAGTTTTAATTTAGGAAATCTTTACCAATACAAAAGTTATCCGCATATTACTTTTTATACACTTGCAGAGAGTTTAGTTAGTGAAGGAATCATTTCTGACCCTATAAACCATATATATTCTTGATCAGCATCAACAGGCGAACATTTTTAGCCATGTCGGAAAAAAATTTTTTTTTTAATATTTTTGTTTGTTTTTTTTTTAAATTTTTATGCAAAAAAAAATGTCTAGAAAATAAGAAAAAAATTTAATTTTTTTAAATCTTATTTTAAGAATGCAGATTTGTTAACCTTTGAAAGACTAACATAGAAAATCTTTTCGATTTTAAATTGATGCTTTTTTGACTTAGTTATGGTTTTTTAAACTTCGACTTTCCGAAGTTATCTTTCTTTCTTGCTAAAAATATTACTCATTTCTTCAGTGGCATATTATATATTCTAATTTGGTTTAATGATTCCAAAATTAAGTAAATAAATAAACACAAATCTACTTCAGTATTGCAGTTATATTATATTTATTACGACTAAAGGGTCCTTTTTAACATCAGTTTTTTTTTGCACAAAGACTTCTCTAGTCCTTAGCTCCTACTGCCTTCTTAATTCCTTCAGTGGCGAGTTCAATGCCCAATTGAATGGCGATGGCCTTTACAAGTTTTGATAACCAACCGCCTTGAGGAGGAACACCATCCACCAAAGGTTGGTTAGACCTTTCCGTACGGAATTGGGAAACTATATCATTAGCTCGGGATCGTTGTGCGGGTGTCAACTGGATCTGATCGCCGTACTTCTCAAGAAAATTCACTAGGAATAGGACATTGCTGTCCCCAATGGATTGAGGAGTACCATTTTTGAAGGCATTAACCACGCGTGTTTTATCAGCCTCAAAGCTGCGTTGGGCACTGGCTGTCCAAGCGAGGCTTCCGATGATAACCACCAGGCAGCTGGATAGAAATTATCAAACCTTTAAGAATACAAAATTTAATTATAATATATACTTTGATGCTTACCTAAGGTAGATTGTTGAATTCATCTTTTGCTGTTCTCAATTGAAACTCATACTTGATCCAATGAGAGCTTGCCTTTTTATAGGAGCTCAGAGACATCGCACTCCGGGCAGCGGCCATGGGTCTAGGCTTATCAGTTGAATATTATTTCTTGTATTCCAAGAATTGATAATTGATTTAATTAAACAATGAAATAATAACTGGGAGATTTTCAATGGTTTCATCCGAAAATATAAGTTAAGCCCTGAACTTTTCAGATAATATGTTCTTGGAACTATTCATTTACATGTAAAATATTTTTATAATATATTTTTAATTTTTATAATAAAAAACAATACGTTGTGGAAAGTTTATTAGAGCAGACCGGATTTATCAATACAAAAATCTCAACAATTCATTTTACTCTTAATAAAAACATATTCAAAAATTTTCTAATTAATCAAGATATATATAAAAAAAAACGACATTTAGGAATATACAAGTAAAAAAAATAGTAGTTTAAGAGAATAGAACACTCTGACATTTTTTAGATCCACATGTTAAGAACTAATAAATTAATTTCACAACTTTCAAACAGAGACCGAACAAAGGACTGTAGAATTATCATTTCCTATACTATTTTAAATGATGCCAATACATTCAGAAAGCGCTACAGACTTTTATAATATCTTTAATTTTAATAATTTAATTTTAAATTATTAGTTCAAAAAGTTCCACCACCGACAACTATCGATATACCTGACCGGCGCAGTGTGACCGCTCGTTGCCTATCGGCAAAATCACACCGCCCTTGGCTTCGCAGTCTAGTTGGAAGCGACTTCGCGAACTCGGTCACATTTGTGAATTCGGATTGGAAAAGAGCGGAGGTGTCGAGATTTTGCGTCGGTTAAAGAATTCGCCTCTGATTTTCATTGCACTGCAAACCGGAACTCGGGCAAACTGAACAAGTCCTGCTGCGTTGCCGTTTGTGCAATGCAAATGGGATAAAGCGCCGATCGCTGTGCGTGAGAGTACGTAAAGAGCTGTGGAAAATAAATAGCAAGTCCTGCGCGAAACGGGGAATAGAGCGAGTGGCAGATTTTTTCTGTCTACCTACACAAACACACACATATCCATGCGCATATACCGAGTGGAGCTGTGTGCGTGTGCGGGAGCGCCGCAAAATAAAAACGGTTAAATCAAATCAATTGTGCAGTGTGTGACGAAGAAGAAGCAGAAGCCGAAGTGAAGCTGAAAATATTTGAATGCGAAAAAGATTCTAAATAGTGCTGGAAAATTAAAAAAAGAGCCGCGCCCCGTTTGCTAAACGCCAACACACACAAACACACACTTACAAACCCAAACATACACACACACACACTTAGTCACACCAGCGCAACGACGGAGAGAGAGAAGAAGAGCGGAGAAGAAACAGAGGCTAAAAAGAGAAAAGTTGAAAGGCAGCAGCAGCAGCAACAAATAGTTTGTTAATTGCACGGGTTTTTTTGTGTTGCTGTATTTATTTAACGCGACAACTAAAGTAAATAAGAGTATTGAAATTATAAATTAAAGTTACAATAGCCCCCACTCCTCCTCTTCTCTGTGCGGTGTGTGTGTGTGTGTTTTGTGTTTTTTGTGTTGGTGCTCCTTTCGCCGTTTTCATTTGCATTTCTCTCCATTTTCGCGAAGAGCAGCAAGCAGCAGCAGCAAAGCAATTCTCCAGATCCAGAAGACAACACAACACACGAAATAGCAAATCAAAATGGCGCACCAGCAGCAACAACAACTGGCTCCATCGGTCAACTGTTCACTGGACGATATCGATCTGACGGCCCTCAAGGTGAGAATTTACTATTTTATCTCTCTCCCAAAGGGGGAGACTCCGATCCGACCCCCTCCCCATCATTTTCCATTTTACACTCTCCATTCCCCATTCTGTGTTCGGTGTGTGCCCATTAGCACGCCTCGCCCAATTAACGGGAAAGTGACCCGTAGGTGTGGCATCACTTGCCGTCCAATTTCCGTAAATAATGCGATCTAATTTGGGGGTCATTAAATATCATAAATTGGTGCATTTAATCCTTCAAGATTTATATTCTTATAAAATTAAAATAAATTCTTCTTTCTTTATGGTTATATTATTTATTTTCTGGTAACCAAGTTATCTTCAAATTATCTTTTCACTTGAGGACAGTTTTTATAAGCATAATTTCTTTATATGCGATATTTAAGGTATTTATGTTTATATCGGGTGTTGTTCTACAGTATTTATTTAATATTTACTTTTATTCTTTAAAAACCAGTTATCAATTGATTATTCCCCCATTTTTGCTTAAAGTTTAAGCTTTAAAATTTAATTGGGCCTCAGAAAAGGATCCAATGCCAGTATAAAAGAAACGATTTGAAAACAACTTCGATCTAGACCTTTTATTTTAAGCTTTATGCAAGAAAGTTTATAAAATTCTTTGCCATAATAAACTAAAATTTTTAAGGTCTTATTTCGATAAAAATATTTTTTTCTAGACAAAAATAAAATGTAATTTCGTTTGTAACTTTAAACCAAATTTTGAATCTGATTTGCAAGTTCTCGACCGAATTTCAATGTAGGTTATTCACTGAAAAATTACGGTTCATAAAGAACCCCTGCAAGGAGATGTTCGCTCGATACCCCAGAAAATCTTATACAACCCGATTCCATTGGCCTTTGGCAGTCGGCAGTCGAACCCTTGAAGGCTTCTCTTCCCCCACATTTATGCAAATTTGTTTAAAAGTACAACAAAGCGAAAATTCCCTTTGTATTTTCGTCGGCCTTTTTCGCACTTTGCTATGGCAACCCCATATGAATCCATAAAGAAATAGGTTTTTTGTACCATTATTTAGCGCCGCCGGCAGCAGCAATCATAATAATAATAATCGAGTTGATAAATGCATATTGGCATTTCGATTTCATTGCCCTGATAGAAAATCAGCCGAAAACCACCCACAAATTGTCACCCACCCTGTTTTTACTGGTAACAGTACGGGGGTATATTGTATTTGTGGTCAGTTTAGGTATATGTTCCTGAGTTCGAATTAATTTGAAAGGTTTTTGGGTATTCCTTAATAGTATTACATATTTAATTTATTATACTAATCAAAGGCTATACCTGTTATAATGATCCAAGCATCAAATGAATATTGAAATAAGTAGATTTATTGGTGTATTTTACTTATAGGTAAAATAATTTCACATATCCCTTTCGATTATATTTGTCTAACTTATATTGATTGAAATATATCCACAATTTCATTACATTCCCCTGCTTATAAGCATTTTCTACTGAATTCTCTTACCAGAACTGTTAATATCATGGTATTTCATAGTCGTGGCACACCAATATACCCTTCTCTTTTAATTTTTTTTTTTGGGGAGAGTGGTTGGTGCGCAACTTTTGACCGGCCGGTGTCTCATCTTCTCTATTTTTTTCGTTTCTTTGCCTTGCGATTCGTTTCGTTTTGGTTTCTCAATGAATTTGTTGAGCCCCCCCCCCACCCTTCTTAGCCCCCTCTCTGGCAAACACTACCCCCCCTCACCCACCCCTTTGGGCGCACGCACTTGCAAACTTGTGCCGCATGCGTTTGTTGCCTTTCTCTTTCACCAAACACTCACCACTCTCACCACTGTCGACTCGAACTGGGAACTTCCAACTTGGTGGAACTCACCACGTTGGGCGCCTGCTCTTTTGCGCACCCACCGAATGTGTACTAGTGTGTGTGTGTGTGTCCGTTTGTTGACTCTGCCGGAAAGTGGGTGGTGCTGGGCGGGGGGTAAAGGGGTGGTGCTTGGGTCGTCGCCTCGCTGATGTATAAATATATATAACACTGTGTGCGTGTGTGTAGGCCACAGCTGTGGTCAATTTAATAGTCTTAAATAGAGGCTTTAAATAGAAGAAATGTGTGGAGAAATATTATAGTCTTCAATTAATGTATTTTTTTACTAACAATCTCTCCAACCTGAATTAATAATCAAAGTTTTTCAAAGTTCTAGAATTAAATAAAAATTAAATACAAATTTATAAATAAGAATATAGAAATCTTTGTCCAATTTTCAATCTTTAATTTAGCAGTTTATATTGAATTTTTATTTAAGCTAACATCCTAGTGCTATTATTTTGACCCCAACTGTTGGATCTGTACATGTCTGTGCTTATATGAAATATTGTTCATAGTCGATGCACAGAGGAGACGAAGACGAGACAAAACGAGACAAGAATGAAGAATGAAGAATGAAAATTGTTTAGTTTACTTTATTAAAAGGCAGCAGGCAGAGGCGAGCACAACATGCGTGCATAAGGCAGACTGTGTGTGTGTGTGTGTGTGCGAGTGTGTGTTGCAGCAGACAGCTTCAAGATGATGATAATGATGATAACAATGGGAATCATGATGATGATTCCTTCGTCGGCTGCCAAGGAAAACGAGAATCCAAAGCGAAATCTGCAAAAATGGAGGAGAATTGTGTGGCGTTGTGTCTTGTTTGAAGTGTTGTTTTTATTATTGTTTCTGCCTGTTTGGCCTTCTCTTTTCTTTGGCAAAAAAAAGTGGGGGGCGGCGTTCCCCCCGTCGCCTGCATGTCTGCCATGTTCTGTGACCTGTCTGTGCGTGGCTTTTAAAGGTCATTAAACACAATGAACCAGAGAGCAGCGAAACGAGGTGGGGGTGGGGGGAGAGGGCTCGAGGTCCCGAAATAGAAAACGAGAGAAAAGGTCAGAGTCCTTAAAGCTCACCGCACTCTTTATTAGAGGAGAACCTTTGTATTTTTTCACGCCGCTTTCCGTTTTAACTTCTGGCCTTATTATTTATTCCTGCGATAAGAGGAGAGTTCCATTCCTTGGTAGCGATAAGATTACCGCAAGAACTGCATTCATCAGCAAATGAATTACATTAATTATTTTTCTCTCTTTTTGTAATGGTTGCTCCCCTTTTATTTGTATTGGTAGTGCAGTTTCTTTTATTCTTTTCCTCTGATAAGCATTCAAACATCGCCGTTTGCCTCGTTTTTTGTTATTTGGGTGTGTGGTTCTTTACATGCCAGATTTTTACACTACAAAAAATAGTCATAAAGACGGAAATGGGTTCATGGAAAAGAAAAATCCAACAGAAAGATAGATGGTAATATATTAACAGTATTTCCCTAATAAACGACTTGTGAACTATGTTTTATATTCACAAATCATTTTGATGCATTTTATAAAGAACCATTTGTAGTATCCCATTGTTATTTAAAGTGTACGTGTTTATTTTAATCAACATTTATTGCATTTCGTTAGCTGCGATAAAAACGTGTTCGCCCACATTTGTTCGGTCGGGTTTCCATGTGTCCCGCCGCTGTGCTGCAATTTGCCGAAGGAAACAGAAAATAAACGCTAAAGAGTGGAAAAATATCCACACATGTTTGAGTTTTAGTGTTTTTGTGGGTTAAATCAACATTGGCCCCGGGAAAATACTTTTTATAGTTCGGATTCGGGAAGAGGCATCATCACCATCATCATCATCTCTTTCTGAGTGTCTGTTTATAGAGGCGAATTTCCCCAGAGTATTGGGAAATGCTAGCCTAGCCGTTCCATAGTCCGAGACGGTACTGCTGTTGAAATCGTTGTTTTGGGAAAATTATCAGCTCTAATCACAGTTTGGTTCATTTACTGCTGATACCTGAAATGTAGGTAAATGGGTTTTGTGACGTCAGCGTGGTGTGCATTCCTAATTGAATTGGCCCCAACGGCCCACGGCCCACACAAATTTAACCAGCAAAGAGACATGCTTTTGGTTTCACTGAGGAAAATGCACTTTAGGACATGACATTTTTGACATAAAAAGATTTTTTTATAGATTTTTAAACTAGTTTTATGGGTACAAAATATAGAAATGAATTGTTGTATTATTTAGAGTCATTTATTATCCCATTTCAACAGTTTTTGTACGCTTTTAATGTGTCAATTGGACAAAAAAAAAATTTTTTAAAGGATAGAATCGTTTTAGAAACCTGTTCTAGTAATTTTTCTTCTTCAGACACCCCTTAAAACTTGTAAAAGGAATTTTTAATATTATTTCATTACATTTAATCTAAATTTTCATATAATGTTCCAATACATCATTTATTCCTTAATAATAATCAGTGTTACAACGGTTTCAATCATTTTTAATCACCAGAGATCCCCAAGGAACCCCTAAAAGATAATTTTGGTACTCTTTATTGGTATCTAAACTAGTTTATTATATAATTTCCTCTATAAAACTGGTAGTAAAACAGTTTTGTTCATTTCCGCATCATAAACAGTTGATCAATTAATTTAAATTATTATTTTTTCGTAGTGGAACCTGCACTGCATCTGCATAAGCTGGCACTGCATTGAAATGCATGGGCGTCCTAATATGCAGTCAGTCCTGTTTTTTAGTAGCCACTCTCCTGCTCTTTGCATTTTTATATATATTTTTTTTTGCTGCTAACTGGGCCAAGCCTTTTGGCTGGAGACAGAGAGAGAGAGAGAGAGAGAAAGAAAGAGATTGAGAAGGGGGTTCTGCGCTTTTTGGTCTAAAAAACAAACAAACAAAAACAATAACAACAAACAAAGCAAATCAACAACAAAAATTCCAGTTTTGCCAGGCCAAACAAACTGTAATAATGAAGCAACTAACCAAGGAGACAGAAGGCCCAAAGCCTTTAATTAGAGGAACTATTATAGAATTGGGATATTGTTTCATACGGAATTTAAAGTTTATTATTAGTAGCTTATACTTTTTTATTATTTAAATTTAAATTCTGCTCATAACCAAGGCAGGCTTCACTGTACCTGCGTTGGTCTGCAATCTCGCTCTTTCGGCCTCCAACGGGCTGTGTTTAGTTTTTTAGTTGTTTTTTTTTTAGTCGTACCCGTTTGGACAAATACGAAAGACAAACAAAAGGCAATCTGATGGAGGAAATAGAGGGAGCAGGGAAGGAGATGTGGGACTTAAAGGTGGAAGGGGTGGAGAAGGGGATACACATGTGCCGGCAGCTGGACAGTTTTTCCAAAGCAAGCAGGAATGGGCAGCAGCAGAAACAACAACAATAAAAGCAGCAGCCTGTTTTGCCTGCTAAGCAGTAACTGCTGCGGCTAACTGATAACTGTAAGAAAATCTACACAGCGAGAATAAAGACATAACTAAGATAAATAAAAAAAAATATATATTTTATGTTCTAGAACCCAGTAAAAAGGCACACAACAGAAAGAGTACTTTACTACTTCTATCTATATGGGAGAACCTATATAAAGTAAAGATTGTAATTTCTCTGAGTGCACGATCGCTGACCGATGTCTAGAATTTTTTTTCTAACGGCTACCTGCCCGCCAGCTTTGCCTACCCCCTCCCCCCCCTGCTTTTTGCCCCCTCTCTGCTCATTTGGCTTGGTTTTGTTTTTGTTTTGCTTAACATGTCAACGTTAATGAGTCATGAAGCTGGAGCCAGAGTCCAGCAGCAGCAAACTTTTCTCCCGTCATTTCCTCTCTCTTATTTTCTTTCTCTCTCTCTTATTCTCTATTTCCCCAGTTCTCCTTCTCCAGTGAGTTCATTTTTCGTGAATTTTTAATTGATTTTTACAACGTGAAGTAATCAGCCATAAATAGCAGTAATTGCCGCCACAATCCGGCACTCTCTACCCCACCCCCCCCAAGCATGTTCTCTTTGTTTGTTCCCAGTTCCCTGTGTTCTTCTCTTCGTGTTCTGCTTCTCCCTTTCCCCCGTTATCGCTGTATGCCCTTTGCATGTGTTTGACACACTTTTTGGGGTTTTGGGAGTTGGGGGAAAACAAGGGAGAGAAAGAGAATGTTGGGTTGCAGGCATAAATCTACTTAAAGCGGCTTCCATAGTTCTTCAGTTTTCCACCCCCTACCTTATATATTTTCCCCTATTTGTTTATTTGCCCTGCACTTTTTTTCGTATTTTTTTTTTTTTTCCTCTCCTTTTTTTTGGCTCTGTTGACGCTTTGTCTTTTGGTCTTTAATTCCTTTGGTGTTGCCCCGGAAAAATTATGAGGAAAATCTCTTGAGGGGCGGAGGGGGGGTTGGAAAAGTCTGCGGTCTTGCGTTTTGATGGGGATTACAGCTTAATAAAGATGACAGCTTTATGGTATACTATAAATCAATCTAGTTCTGTCAATTCTCCTTAGACATCGATTATATGACAATATATGTGAGGATTATCCAAAACTTGTATGACTTCAAATCAACCTCCTTTTCGAGTTCCTCAACTTTTAGGTGTTGGAGAACTTTGAGGAAACTGAATTTGGAGCAAACTAACTGCACTTTAGTAACTTCTCTTCTTTGGTATTTGTTGAGGAACAACACTAAATGAATTCTACACCGAAAAAATTGCATAAAACTTGCAAGAAAATTTTAATCTATCATTAAATTAATAATACAATTATTATACTAATTAATTACAATTAAATTATAACACTATATGACATTCCAAAAGCCTAAGAATAACCAAATCAATCTTATATAATTAATGAGGAATCAATTTTGTATTGCGTGACTAGAGTTCCTTCAATCCTGTATAAATATTTGTTGTCCTAGGATAGTGAGGAAATAACAAAAATAGTTTATTAAACCTAAACCTATATTTAATCAATATTTATTTCTATTTCTGTATTTCTTGGGGCTGTCTCTGGGCACCCAAAGCAAAGGAAAACCCCTTAATTTCGGTGCCTTAGTTGAAGCGTCAATTGAGGTTGTCAAAAAAGTCAGTTACCTGTTGAAATGCCGGGCGATGTTGTTGTTCTTGTTATTTTAATTGGCATTTGCCTTACCTTACCTGTCGTTCACCTGGCCATCGTCTTTGTAATCCCAAATCCCCCGAACCTGTGCCCCAATAAAAATAGAAGGCATTGTATTCTGTGTGTGTGTGCTACCTCCTCCTTTTCCTTCAGCTTTTTCACGCCCCGTGCCATGGGTTGCGTGTCAATGAACTCGCATGCAATTTGTATGGCTTTTTTTTTTTTTTTTTTTTTTTGGGATGGGTTGAGGGAATCGGGAATCTTATTTGGGATTTCGAAATCGAGGATTTTTATTTTTAAAGCAGTGCCTTGGCGTCTTGTCTCTCTTTATTTGTATTGTTATGCCTTAATAATTTGTTTACAAACAACAACAACAACAAAAACAAGGGTATGAACGAACTGGGGCTTGTTCGTGTTTAAAGGTTGTTTAAGTGGTACCAGAACCCGCAAAGAGGGATTCAAGGGGTTTTCGAGTGTGTGTGTGTAGTTGTGTTCTTTGTTTGTTTTTGGCAGCTGGCAAAAACAAAAAAACCCTAAAACTCTCAAATAAAAAATAAAGGATTTTATTTTGGGCGTTTCCCGCATTGATTTTCCCAAAGCACATCACTTATTTCTATTTTCTCTTGTCTCTTTCCAGGATCCAGCTGGCATCTTTGAACTCATCGAAGTTGTGGGCAATGGCACCTACGGCCAGGTCTACAAGGTAAGCGATTATGTTTATGTTTACTCTACATATATCTCTATATCTTGCCTGGATTTTCGTGGCTATTTTTAAGGCCATCTCATACCCGAACACACAAATATTCGTGTTGAAGTCTTTACGGCTTTCTTTTCATAAGCAAATTTTCGCATATTCGCTTAGTGCGATGGGAGAGCAATGATCTCAGATGTTTTTCCTTCTGAGAGTCACTTAGTCTCTTTATAATTAGCAATCGTTAGAGTTTATGCTTGACTGCGTTTTGCTTTAGTTTCTTTTCTTTCTATACCCTAACTTTGAGTATTAATCATTTTCAACACGAGTTTGTAGATAATAGATCTTTGAGGTCTTGAAAACTGATACTGGTGTTCTTTGGGGTTAATACAAGTTTAGGAACCTTATATCTAGTAGACACTTTATACAGATTATTCTTATTAAGCATGATATAGTTGTTTACACAAAGATTAAAGAAAGGGTATTATAAACTCAACCATATCGAAATTAGCTTTTTGTTTTCTTTTGTGTATCTCTATGTTTTGGTATTTTGCGGATGTTTAAATTGTATCTGAGTATCTGTATCCGTGTGTGACGCCCAAAAAGACAGGCGGTCTCCCGTTCTGGTCGCTTTAATTAGTTTAGTGTCCGCTATGTTGTCTAATAACTTGCAGCGAACATAACACAAAGTACAACAACAACAATACACCAACAACAACAACACACCAACAACAAAAATGCCTACAAGCAAACACACAAAAATGCCGGCAAAACACGACGACACCGCGACTTCTTCTCACACATTAACACATTTTTTCTGACTGTTTGCCTGTTGGGGTAATAAAACAACAACATCAACAACAACAACAACAAAATACAACAACACCAGGAATCATAATCATAATCATCATAATAATAATCACAGAGCAAAGATTTGAAATGCTTGTGCCTCTCTTTGGCTTTCGGGGGAAAACAATGCCTTGACTTTGTGCTGCCTGCATTTAAATTATAAGTTTAAAAGATACAACTATGCGGCGGCAGTACAAAAATAGACATTGCTTTTGTAAATTACCGTTAGTCGTTGGAAAAAACTGGGAAGCCGAAGCCGAAAGATTGAGGAAAAACTAAGGAAACTGAAAAGTGTGGCATGCGCCGCTTGGGAGGCCAGTCGTAGATGTTGCATGTTGCTGTTGCTGTTGGTGTTGGTGTTGGTGTTGCTGTGTTGCAGTTGCACTTTGTGGGGGTCGCCAGAGGCACTAGCAGCTCGGTGATGAATGCAACCAAATTGAGTTGCAGCCGCCGTCGCCTGGATTTGTTGCTCTCCGCCTCAAGTTGTTGTTTATCGCCTCTGCCAGATTCCAAAGTATTTTTATACCCTCGAAGTGGGTAATTTGATTGAAGCATTAAGTTGAAAAAAAAAACCAAGCAATGAACCGTAGCTTTGCTTGGAAATAAACAAAATTCCTTTTCCGTATTTGTATTTAAAATAGATGCAATAACATTTTCTCTTCTGTATTTCTTGTATTTTTTTTTGTTTCTTTGAGATACATTTAAGTCTTTTCTATCTTATTTTCAATGCTTAAGAAAATAAAAGCAACAATTACAGTATTTTAAACCTGTAGAAATAGGTTTACTTGTCTAAAGATACAAGTATCTAATTAAAGATATCTTTATTTACTCATAAACTGTTAAAGATGCTTCTAAAATAATTAACACAGTTCCAGGCTGCTTATAATTTTACCATATTTGATTATAAAGATGTTTAATTTGTTGTGCTAACTGACTTAATCATCGTGAACTTTAAATATATAAAGAATGAGTAATCATACTCTGAAAGTGGTTACGAAAATATATTCAAATTTAGTTAAGTAAATTAATTTCCATATTCAATTTCTAGGAATGACCAGCTCTCTTTCACATTCTTCTATATAAGGCTGTCTTTGCGAGGCTTAAGCTTTATCTATCCATTACACCATTTCATGAAATTTCATGCCGTCAATAAATATAGAAAATATATATTTAATTTCATATAGATTTATGACCCACAAAATTTGCCTAAAGAAATGCCAGTCAATTGGTTTTCGCCTACACTTTTCAAATGAGTTGCGGTTTTTTTTTGTGGGTTTCCAAAATGGGAAATAATTTGTAGATGAAATTTGAGTACACAGAGAAATTACAAGGAATATAATATATAATATTTGAGAAATATTTCATTATTTTGCTTTACAAACAAAATCACAAGTTTGGAAATCCATTAACAAAGCCAGAGTTGAATGCATCATAGTTTCATAAATTCGTGTAATAAACTTTATAAAGATAATCCTATAAACTACCTACGAGTTCTTGTGTTAATTCTCAAAATTTCATACTTTTCGCTCTGTGTACTCTCTAGAAGTAATTTTAAAACTTGTTAACTCAACTCGGCGACGACTTTGACGCTTTAAGTAGTTCATTATACTGCCTCGGCATCTGCACATCTGTGTGTGAAATTAGCATGAGTAATGCTTTAGATACTTTCTGTGGCCATATCTCCAGTATCTGTATCTTTGTATCCGTATTTGTATCTGCATGTGACTAGAACCTGAGTTTGAAAGTAACGGATGGTATCCATCCGTTGTCCACTTGCTCGGTTTCTGTCTCATTTCGTTGGCATTTATTTGGCTGTGGTTTTAGCTTGACTTGACTGAATGACTGACTGGTCAACCGGTTTACATTCGCTACGGCTGCTAATGCTGAGCCTCGATTATGGCCACCTTTTTTTGTTTTTGGCCCCGTCCGTCAGCTTATCAAACGTCACAATGTTGTTGACCAATTTTCGCCATTTGGCCTGATGCCTGCTTAATCATAATTTCAGTTTGGCCTGATGTTTATATATATTTTTTTTGGGTATTTCGATGTGAATTCCTTTTAATAACAAACTTTTGCTTCGGTGTGACTTAATTTTATTTCTGCGAATCTGAATCGTTTTTTTCCCGCTAAGCTTTTTTGATTTATGATTGCCTTGCAACGCTTTTGTTTAATTTGTGTTTATTTGTCCGCCTTTCTTGTGTTTGTTTTTTGTGTTTTAGGGCACTTCCGTTTTATGAATAACTTGATACTGCGCTTCTAAAATGTCCGTTTATCGCTGCTAATAATAGCTAAGCCCAACTGTCACTCTGTGAGTCACTATATAGTATTATTATATAGTGTTACTGGTCAGGAGGGGGGAGGGGAATGGTAAAAACCAAGCCACATGCGGTTCCAGGGAACACGTACAAGTGCAACGTGTTAACGGCTTTCTGTCATGTGTGCACCGATTTTTATATATTTTTCTTCTATATTTTTTTTTTGGGAAGCGGGGGAGTGTCTGACTTTAAACGTGGTCAACTGGAAATTGTGCAAAAACGAACACCAAAGTTCATAGAGAAGGCAAAAGGGAACTGAAATAAGTTGGTAAATGCAAGAAAAATGAACTTTGCCTAATCTATATGTATATTCTTAGTTACTCAAACTTGGTTTCTTTGTTGAAAAGTTGTTGAGGAAAAAGAAAAGTTGAACTAAAACTTTGGTAGATAAGAAATCTACAAATGAGTAAACTTTTATGTCTATCAAGCATTAAAACTAGTGTTAAAATAAATAGTTTTTTTATGTCTTACAAGCATAAAATACTAATATTACAACGAATAAGTTTTTTATATGCTCAACTAATTAAATAATAACTTGATGTAAACAACAAACTGGTCATAAATGATGATTGAGTATCGAAAAGAAATACAAAAACTTGATTTTATATGGTTTCATGCCCAAAGTCATTATTTTATAGTTGTAAGTTTGAAATAAGAATGTTAATAATTACTTCAACTTAATTTAATCCTGCTTAACAACTAATCATTGAAGCTTGTTAGGTATATTAATTTTATGAGTCTTTAAATCAGCATTTAAACATTAAATCCAAGACCCGTATATAATCTCAAATCGTAATCAGTATTTTTAATATGTTTCTTGCTAATTCCTCTAGTTTAATGCATCTTAAATCCTCTTGAAACTGCTTAAGAATTAATTAATCTCTTGTGTTAATCTAAAATCAGAACACATATTTTCTAAGACAACATTTTCGTAGTCTATTCTTGGATGATATAATATCGTGATGGCAGGGAAAACAAACGCACACAAAAACCCAATTTCCGCAATGTTTATAAATATTATTCTTGGGGCTTGGCTCCCGTTAGATTTCCGCCCACGCAACCTAACAAAACTACGACTATTAAAAACAACAACAAATCAACAGTAAACGCAACCCACAGTTGTGTCGGTGTAATTAACATTTCTCATAGCAGGGCGAACTTTGACCCAATTATGGGGCAGGGGGGAACTAGCGAGGGAATGGATCTCGTGGAACAGGCGGGAGGAGGAGCCGATGGACTCCAATTTTGAGACAGACGACAAGTGCAGACAGAGCAAGACAATACATATTTATGAGCGAGACATGATAATAAAGCACGCAAGCAAATAAATGGTAAAAAAAAACCTACTTTGCGCAGGCGCAGCCAGGCAGAAAGCCTCACAAGAGGCGCTGGCAAAAAAAACTGCAGCAGTCAATAAAATAAAATAAAATAAGAAACAAGAGAAGGAAAAACACGACAGGCGAACGACGAGGAAACATGCAAAATACATTAAAGCCAATATACAAATCAAGCAGGAAGCATCAGTACAAGTTGGCCCCAAGCAAAGCAATAGGAAAAACACAAAGAAAAGAAACTACGGCAGACAAGGCAGACTTTAGAGCCATAAAAAAGGCACAGCAATTAGTGCACGAGTACCCCCAAAAAAGCATAAAAGGCTCTCTCAATGTCACAAAATAAAAATTATACAAAAAAAAACTAATTATTACGCAAATTGTATTTGTATTTGGTAGACTCCTAAAAACATTTAACAAACCCAAGTCATTGACATGTTCCCAGAGTGCCAATACACGGGAAGAAAATATAGAAAAATAGTATAATTTAATTTAGAAACAATAATAACAAGAAAGG